TCGGGGCGAACTTTCAATTGAATTTTTTTTTTTTTTTTAGTTTGCTTTAAGGTGCATGTACTTGCCAGAGAGACACACACAGAGAAAAAGAGAGAGAGAAAGTGAGAAATCACCCTCCAGAGGGAAGGGCCACACCCCAGCCTCTTCTCCATTCTCCTCGCAGGATGTTGGGTAATCCACACACACACTGGATGTGATTTTTAAGCCACCTGGTCTGGGATTTGAACTGTACAGCTGCCTATGTGAAATCCAGTCACCTTAACCTCCGTGCCACCTGCTGGCAGTGCAAGTGACTTCTACAAATTAAACTTTCTTTATTACTTTTTAAAAAACAAACCCAGGTCGGCAGATGGTATGATAGTTCAGGTGCTGGACTCCCGCATGGTTGACCATGGTTTGAGTCCTGGACCTGGCAGCTTGCTTTCTCACTGTCCCTCTCTCTCTCTCTCTCTCTCTCTCTCTCTGGTCAATTTAAAAATTATAATAATAATGGTGAATAAAGTTGAAAAAAAACCCAATGAATACTTGTTAAAGAAAAATCAGAAAATACAGCCAACAAAAAGTGTAAATATCACCTGTAATATTGGGTTGTTGAAAAGTAATGACAGATTATTTGTTTGTTTTTCTATGCAAAAATGCAACATGACTTTCCTGACAACCGAGTCCTGCCACCCAGTAATATCAGTTACTGACACCTCGGGGTTTCTATTTAGATGAGTGAATATTTGCCGTAAGGGTCAGTAACCGATACAGTGAAGAGATACTACATAAACTGGTATATACACCTAGCGAGTAACTCTTCATTTATGTATGTATGTATGAATGAATGAATGATTTTTGCTATAGGGCATGTGTGCTTGCCGGAGAAACAGAGACAGCGAGAAATCATCCCGCCAGGGGAATGGCCACACCGCAATCCCTTCTCCATTCTCCTCTCGGGATCTTAGGCACGCACACACCCTTGGCTAGCGTGAGTTTTAAGCTACTGAGCCTGAGACTCAAACCACAGTGGAATACATGGGAGTCCAGCGACATACCCATTATGCTATCTACTGGTCCTTCTTTGTTTACATAGTACTATATTGCAAGACCAGCCAGTGGCAGGGAGGTTAAGGTGATAAATCTCACATAGTCATTTTCACAGTTCAAGTCCCGGTCCTAGCAGCTTGAGAATCACCCTGGGTGCGTGTGCAAGTGTGCCCAAACTCCTGAGGAGAATGGAGGAGCAAGGATTGCAGCGTGGCCATCCTCCCTGGTGTGATTTCTCTCTCTGTGTGTCTAACTGGTGAGTGTATGTGTCCTGTAGCAAAAAATAAAACTATTATATCACGGACCAGCAGTTGGCGTAATGGCTATGTGGCTGGACTCCCATGTAGTCGACCACGGTTTGAATCCCGGATCCGGTGGCTTAAACTCACGCCAGGCGCATGTGCGTACATGCCCAAGATCCCAAGAGGAGAATGGAGGAGAAGGGATTGCGGCATGGCCATCCCCCCTGGGGGATGATTTCTCACTTTCTGTCTCTGTCTCTCTCTGTCTTTCTGGTGAGCACACGGGCCCTTTTAGCAAAAACCTCTCAAAAAAAAATTCTATTAAATTCCAGCAAATTTTTTTTTTTTTTCCGAAAAATTCTTTTCAGAGAGAAGAATGACATTAGATCAATTGCTTCAGCTATAATCCTGAAGAAAAGATTTTACAAACACACTTGGCACAAAGTTCTAAGCAGTACTGTGCTGGAACCGACGCCGAGGGAGTACTTACAGTGTTTATTTTAAGCAACCGTTCTGTCATTCTTCTCAGTTTGAGATTCATCTCGATATGCCAGAAACGACGCAGATGAAAAGCTGCTGTTCATGTGTATTTTCAACCTCTCTTAAGGAGTACGCTTCCTTATCCTTCCTGATAACTGGGTAGTTAGGAATAAGGAAAGACTCCACCACTCATGGTGACTGTATTCAAATTTCAGAAACATGAAAATTGTTTTAAGTTTCAAGCAAAATTGTTATTGTTCGTTTCCTTTCATTTTAGTAAAAGATAGTTTTCCACTAAACTCTAATGTTAGGGAGCATACCTTCAATTCAGTAGAGAAATCCTTAAAAACAAACAAAATGACTTTCTAGGGGTCAGCAGGTGGTGTATGGTTAAGGTGCTGGACTCCAACATGGCCAACTCTGGTTTGAATCCCGGACCTGGTGTTTTGAAAGTCATGCAGGCACATGTGCGTACGTGTCCAAAGCGCCAAGAGGAGAATGGAGGAGAAGGGATTGTGGCATGGCCATCCCCCCCAGGGGGTGATTTCTCGCTTTCTGTCTCTCTGTCTCTCTCTGTCTTTCTGGCGAGCACATGCGCCCTATAGCAAAAACCTCTCCAAGTAAATAAAATAATGACAAATAAAATTAAAAAGAAAAGAATTCAAATGAACACTGGTTTATCATTGGCAGCTTTCTAGTCTCTTGGCTTTCTTGGCATAAGTGGGGGGTGGTTGGCCATGACTGAATCTGGCACAAAGCCCCTTGCCGCCCCATGAGGATACCACCGCCAGTGGGTGCCCATTTCCCTGGCTTCCCTTAGGAAACGTTACTCTTTCCAGTGAAAATTCCAGAACTGCGTTTCCTTACCAGAGAGATGCAATGCTGCATACCCACCAGCAGAGGGCAGCTTGGTCTTGAGAAAAGAAATGGGTGTTCATTTCAGCCTTTGGAAGTGTGGGTCCAGGTCAGAGTTTTTCTTTGTTCAGTATGGAGACTGTCTTACTTTCTCTCTTTTTCCTTCTCATGTGACAGTCCCTTCCAGTCACTCATTTTTAGCTTCAGATTTCGGGCTTCTGAGCGACTGAGCTGAAGTGATTTCTCCCACCCTGATTTTCTCTGCACTGGCTTTGCGAGGGCTTAAAACAGCCAGGAAACCAAGTGAGGCCCTTCCCCTAAGCCAGCAGGTGGGCGTTTGCACAGGGATCTTGCCGTTGAATCTCCTGGTGTCGTGCCCAGGGTGTCCTTTCCCTGCCTTCCAGGGTGTTTGCCTAACCAAGTGCTTGGGTGAAATTGAGACTGGACTTGCTGACAACAGACCCGCTGTTTTCCAGGAAAGTCCGCGACCCCCGGGCCAATTTCGACCAGTCTCTCCGTGTGCTGAGACACGCCAAGGAGGTCCAGCCTGAGGTTATTTCTAAAACATCGATCATGCTGGGTTTAGGCGAGACCGATGAGCAAGTATACGCAACCATGAAAGGTAAGGGGATTGGAAAATGAAACGCCTCTCGCTTAGTTTAAATAGTAACAGGAACCTCCCTGTGAGACCCTTTTAGATTTATACCTCCTCTAGGCTCCCTCTAATTCGTAATTCTCATTCCAATAAGAACAAAGTTTATGGTTGAAAACAGCAGCAGAAAAAAGGAAAAGAAGTATGTTTTCTTATTTTTAAGTCTCTTTTTTCTAGAATTATTTTTATTAACTTTATTTTATTTATTTATTTATTTATTTAA